TGAGTCTGAATTTTACTGTGGGTTATCAGTAGGCTACTTGTACTTAGGTAAAGGGTCTGAATGCTTGACTTCATTCAATGCAATACACTTCTGTTACCTGTAACACTGAATTGATCTGTTAATTTGCACATACTCTACTCACAGAATACTGCTCTGTATTCATTTGCACACTGTTCATATGCATACTCAATATTTATCTTTATCTTTGCACTACATCCACTTAACTGTTCACTCATGTAACTTACTGTTATCTTCTTCTTCTGCACTATTTCATTCCATCTCATCCCACTGCACTAGTGTTCCATAAGCTTAATGTACCTTATCTATTACTTGTAATTTAAATCCATAGTCTGTATATTGTACTTCTCGTTAGATGCTTAACTGCATTTCGTTGCCTTGTACTGGTACATGGGTAATGACAATAAAGTTGAATCTAATCTAATTCATTTGACATAAAAAAAAATAACTAAGTGGTCCTCTAGTTGTGGGAGTCATGAAATATGGTTGTAGTCGCTCGGTGAATCTGAGTCGGAGAAGGCAGTCAGAGTGAGACCTCCTGTCACGTACAATCTTTATCGGGAGTGACCCAGGATGGCAAGCACTATGTGGAGGTCAATGGTGAGAAAAAGATGCTTTATAAACGGGTTAAAACTACGAACACGGTACTTTACAACCTTTAACTGTGTTTGGAGCCCGAGCTGAAGGGCATCCTGGTGTTGTGTTGCTTCTTTGAATGTAGTTTGAATGTGTTTTTACTCGGCTGTTAGCAGGTTAGCTAGTTAGCTGCTCGCGTGTGTCCTTCTGTGTGAGAACAGCTTTTGTAGCTAACGGAGTTTACTGGGCTAACCGGTTTCCCGGTCTAACCGAGGCGTCTCTGCATCCTTTCCACCGGGACAGTCAAGAATTTGTTTTTGTTCCCACCACAGCATCACATTCGTACTCCATTCAAGCATGTACTAGGTATAAGCAAAGTGATATTGGATTGTGTGTAAAAATGTGTCTTGTTATATCAACTGTTTTATATGCTTGAAAGAATAAATCAAAATCAAATCAAAATCAAAATCAAAATCTAATACTCTTTCCACTGCCTGATCAGTCTCTACAGCTTAAGTCCGGTCACGCTGCTAAGGCGCGTTCCGTCTCCCACATGTAGAGACCGGCACCAAACTGTGTTTGAAAATCGAGCGATTTAAAGTTTCGTCGCATTTTGGGCAAAATCAGTACCTCACGGAGAACAACTGAAAAGCTTACAAACGCTGAGCCCCTTTGGCAAATTTGGCGTAAATGAAATGCACACTAGAGCTTGTGATTGTAATAACATTAAATCAAATCACATCAAATGTTACAATCACAAGCTCTAGTGTAATTGTAATAACATTTGATGTGGTTTGATTTAATGCTGTCATAAATCCACACACTAAACTGGTCCAAATATAAACAAAACCAAGAAAAAAAGAAAACATTGGTTCAGTCCAGCATGGTACACGGACATAAAAACGAACGAAATACATTTTTGAAACTCTAACTAGCATTTCACATGAACAAGGTTTTATGCATTAATTGAAGCACAACAGATACAAGAAAAGTAATTTTTTGACATTCTTTTTAGAATTAATTGGTAGAAACCTATGGAAATTAATTAATTTAATTAGCCTCATTTAGGCTAATTAAACATACACATAATATGGGCTACACACACATATATCACAGCGGCTGTGCACTGGCTCTTAGCAAAGCCAGATTTACACATTAAATGTTGTATTGATGATAAAGTAGTGACCACCAACACTGTTATTTACTCGCACAGCAGGCTATGATCTGACAGCAAGCACACACACAGTACACAACCTACACAGCACTGGCTGATATGGAAGCCATCTTTACAAAATATCTTACAATATCTTTACAAGAGCATCAGCCACTGACAGAGCTTCAGCAAGTGTCATCACATGAACAGTTAACAACAGGCTGATGTGCATTTAGGCTCGTTGGGTACTGGTGCAGCACATGACAACTTGGTCTTGCATTATGTTAATTTTCCAAATTTGTTCTTGTGCTTGTGATTCACATTAATGAAGCTTTGCATCACGTTGTGTATATCCATTTGCTTGACAATATGTCTGTGCACATGTATGAGTATAAGGTACATGGGCTAGCATTGTGTGTGCTGCAGGTGCAAACAGGTGCGATTTGGCCAAACCAGATGAAAATGTGGAACCCAAGATCTACTTACTAAGATCAGAATATTATTTATTATTTTTTATGTTTTAAATGTATAGTTGTGGGGGATATGCAGGCCCTCTACCATCTTCCAGGGGGTGCGGCATCACCCTCCGCACCCCTGCTTCCCACGGCCTTGCACCATTAACATCAGATGAAATGCCAATAGCAAGTGCGAGCAGATTGTTAAGGATGGCCGGTGATCTTTGGCCAGATTTTGAGTGATTATTTAGTTTTAAGTTGGACAGACAAGCTGCTAAACCAGGCAGCAGTACCGCAGTACAGAAGGATGCTTTGGATAACAGACGTAAGAAACAGAATCAATCTGGCTGCTGGCTCCAGCAGATCTAAGTCAGTATGTTGCTGTGCATTCGCTGAACTCACCAAACCTAAGACAAGTTTTCAGCCACTGTGACCACTGTGGGCTCCAGACCGATGCCATGGAAGTGAAATTTAGATTTGTTTGTATAAAGCATTCATTGACGTGTTGGTCCAGAAACAAAACAATCATTTCCTGGTGACTGAGACTTGTCCACAGACTTCAGTGTTTTTATCAGGAACTCTTGGTAGAACATAAACGTTTGTGCCTGCTGACTAAGACGGTATTTAACTGTACAGGTAAAACTCCCATTAGTTAGTACTGCAGCTCAGGATGTGCAGCCCAGGCCTCCTGCATAGAGGACATGGTGCAGGCTGCAGGTATTGAACAGTGTTGCAGTTGTATCTCAACAGTTTTCTGTGTGTTGATTTGACCTTTGTGTTGTCTTGTGCAGGTGTCCCAGGTGGTGCTGAGGAGACCTGTTCTGTCTTCAGCTTCTTTTTCCAGAGGGGTGAGTAGGTCGGGTCAGCGACCCTGACGCCTCCTGTAACACTGCTCACTCACACACGCACATACACAGACTCCTGTACTCTATTGGTCACCTCCATGTTCCCAGTTAACAATGTAATCCAACAGGTGAACACACCTATGACACTCTGTCTGTAATTGAAATCAGACACGGCTGAGATGGACAGCACTGTAGCTGAGGTTCCCACGGATGTGTTGCACTTGTAGTTTTTCTACCTAATATAATAAATTAGAGCTGCAACTAATGATTATTTTAATAATCAATCTGTTGATTAATTGGATGTATAAAAACATGCAGAAATCTATTTTCCACATTGTGAAACCAAACATTTAAACAGTGCTTTTGCCATGTTTTTATGCGGTGCATTATTAAACAAAAACAAATTATTTGTTCAAGAATAATTAGCCTCATGAGTTCCTTACAGTGTGAACAAAAACAGTAAAATATTTATATGTTCATAAAACAAACCATGCCAGTACAAACATGACTGCTACTGCTGACAGTTTAAAATAAATGTGAGTATGCCTAAACAATCCTCAACACATTTACTCTTAGGCTGTGTACTTTGCACCGTGCCCATTAACTTGCATGTGTCGCCCATGCTTCTGAACACACCTATACACTTGGTTTTGGATATTGCCTTTAAAATCAGGTACATTATAATTTTGCCTTCAGAATGTCTTATATGATGAACCAAAGTTAAAGACCGACTTAGCTCTGGGCTCCCCTTCCTCTCTAACTCTAATGTGTCTTTTCTTTAGGTGCTAACACATTGCAGTCTTCTTTCTGACTGTAAAATCAAGTGCTCCCAAGCTTCAGATGACTTTGGCCGTCCATTTTTCTCTGCTGTAACCTCCGCCGTTTTTAACACGCCTCACTAATGTAGTCACCAGTCGCTGACCCGGCTGTCTCACACAGCTAGGTGACTACACCCAACTAATGGATAATTAAATTCCTTGCCAGCTATTTTTATTATCGATTTTTATTGATTTTATGGATTAGTTGTTGCAGTCCTATAATAAACTGTAAAATAACACAGGTTAAATAATCCAGTTAATAATCCCAGTCCCAGCCATTTACAGTCCTCACTCTCTCTAACCTGGCTCCAGTACATAAGATTTAAATAACATGGCGGAGTACACCCCCCCCCCCCAATCAGACTGCATTAGTTATGTATGTCACTGAAGTAGTTGTTAGTCCACCATGAGGATTTTCCGTTTTCTCAGTTTCACTTCTCGTCGTGTCTCTCAGGTGAAGAATCCGTTTGGGAACATGTGATTTTATCATTTTTAACATTTTACAGGTGAAGCTCTTAAAATATTGATGCAGAATCTATAGATGGGTGGCACAGCAAGACAGTGGTTAGTGCTGTCGCCTCACAGCAAGAAGGTTCTGAGTTTGAGTCCCTGCCAACCCTGCATGTTCTCCCCGTGCCTGCGGGGGTTCTCCCCAGGTGCTCTGGCTTCCTCCCACAATCCAAAGACATGCAGCTTAGGCTGACTGATGACTCTGAATTGCCTGTAGGAGTGAGTGTGGTTGTCTGTCTCCATGTCAGCATCATTTTTCTGTCAGCTCCACGTGTTTGATAAATGTGGGTAAAGGTGATGACAAGCTGTAGACGTCTGCTTGAGCAACACTTCCCACTGCTGTTGAGGCGCTTATTCTTGCTGAGACTCACCTGTATGAGCTGCACACAGATGAGTAAAAGCTGAGTATGTGACGATCCTTCACTGTGTGTGTCCACAGATACAGACCGTCACAGTGATTCCTGGCGATGGGATCGGACCAGAGATCTCCACTGCGGTGGTGAAGATCTTTGAGGCGGCCAAAGTGAGTGTGAGCATACTGTAGAGGTGAATAGAGGAGGATGTTTTCTTTTAAAATATCCAGAGGAGGTAGCTGTGTGTGGTGTTTTCCTGCAGGCTCCCATAAGATGGGAGGAGAGAAATGTGACAGCGATCAAAGGACCTGGTGGCAGGTGGATGGTCCCTCCTGATGCCAAAGAGTCCATGGACAGGAACAAGATCGGACTGAAAGGTCTGTTGGTGTTGAGTTCAGCTTTCACATACTTCTCTCTAAAAGATAAGGCCGGTGATTTAGTATGTCTATCATTCCCCCAAACCCCGTCTAGAGACCAGCAGCACCAGTGAATGTGGTGTCCTCACCATAATGTGTGCGAGTCCAGACCCTGGTTTATCGTTCTGTGCCATACACCTCCACTGTTGTCCACCAGCTATTAACCCCCCCCACCCCCTCGCCGCCGAGCGCCTACACTGGGGGGCACGTTTCCTGCTCAGGGAACACAGGAGGCCGTCTGTTTCCAGCAACCAGCTCCAACACATTGTTCTGTGCAGCGTGAGGAGCTGGTGGAGCAACATGGCCATAGCAGACATCAGCTGACTGCTTCTCCCTTCAGAGACTGCAAAAACTGATGGCCATTTTTAGCCTTTGATGCTGATTTTCACTCCATCCCTCACCAGCAGAAACATTTCTCCTGCAGGACCCCTGAAGACCCCCATCGCTGCAGGTCACCCCTCCATGAACCTGCTGCTCAGGAAGACCTTTGACCTCTACGCCAACGTGCGGCCCTGTCTTTCCATTGAGGGCTACAAGACTCCGTACACCGACGTGGACCTGGTCACCATCCGAGAGAACACGGAGGGCGAGTACAGCGGCATCGAGCATGTGGTGAGTGGACCAGATGCAGAATGTACACTGTGTGATAACGCACGAGAGGTCGGACTCATTTACACTAAGGGCATTTTCACATCCAAATGTCTGAACCAAGGTTCATGATTTTGTTAAGTTGTACATATTTGATCTGCTTAGTTTTTTTTTCTTCACATTGTAATTTTGTGAGTGCACTAGAACGCTCAGCAAGCGCATTGTGCTGTGTGAGGTAACGTAGCGTGTCTTCCATTACTGGCTGTTTGTGTTATTGTCATCGACTTAATATGGGGAAGTGCAGGTTTAATGAGACTGATTTATAATAAACGTACAGCAAAAGCAGAAAAATACTGGAGGGATTCCATTGTTCTTATCAGCACATTGCGGAAGTAAACAGGTTGTTTGATTGTGCAGGTAAAGATCAAATCTCTGTATGAATGTTGTCTTTGAAAAGTGAACCAGATCCTGTAAACAAGCTTTCGGCCAAAGAGATGAAGATGAAAGAGTCAGATATGTTCACCACAAAAATGTACAAGATTCAGCGAGCTTCACTCCTGGAGTTGAAATCAGCTGTTAAGAACCACGAACTGTTAAGACCGCGTCCACAGTGTGAACAGACCAGACCAGGTGTCCTCAGACCAGATCTGGGCCACCTGCGTATGTGCTTCTAGTGGAGAACCAGGACGTTTCTCATGTGGTGGACGTTTATGGAGAAGCTTCTAATCAGGCCAAACTGGAAGGAACATATTGTAACTCAGCAGTTTGGGAGGAAACTGGGCCATTTGACCATCGCACACACCACCTGGTTGTTACTCTTGTACACACGTGGGTCACATTTCAGGTACATCTGTGCACATCTGGCAGTTTAGGAGCTCAGCCAGGTACACGGCGCCAACACACGGACGGGAAGCAGCAACACAACAAGGTCAGAGCTGACTGAGCATTACCGTAGCCCGAGTTCAGTAAAAGCCCTCTGCTCTCCTTGTCGACTGTCCCAACTTGTCCACAATGACCGAGTCTCTAATGTGTGTTGACCACGCTCCCAGTCTAAGGAGCTCTGAGTCACTGTCATGTTGTTGTTACACTCTGAAACTCTCTGTCGGGTTGTTGTTGCAGATTGTGGATGGTGTGGTGCAGAGCATCAAACTCATCACTGAGAACGCCAGCAGACGCATCGCCGAATATGCCTTTGAGTACGCCAGAAACAACCAAAGAAACAGCGTGACAGCTGTGCACAAGGCCAACATCATGTGAGGACCACAGTTACACTGACCCTACTGTACACGAGACTTGTAGATGAAAAGAATCCAGTCAGTCATTATGTTGAATTACTTAACGTGCACTAGCTGCAGTGTGAGAAAAGCTGATGTTTTGTGCAGTCACTGTAACGAGCAGTGACGATTTGTGAGACTTCCTGTTGTTGCTTGCTCCAGCCACAGCGCCCCCTGTTGCTTCATTAACTCTGCCCGTTTGTGTGTCCAGGCGAATGTCCGACGGACTGTTTCTGAGGAAGTGTCGCGAGGTGGCTGAGAACTACAAAGACATCAAGTTCAAGGAGATGTACCTGGACACCGTGTGCCTCAATGTAAGCTCATCAGATGTGAACAGACACATCGGAGCCGTTCATGACACTAGAACTGTTTTTAAAGGGTTGAAAAGTGCAAAAACCAGAGTAACGGAGGGCCTCCACAGAAACGCTGCCATTGTCACTTCTGTGCCTTTATGGATGGATGCACTTAATTGTTGGAGTTATAAATGTTAGTGTAAGATTTAATTGCGTGTACAGTGTGTTGACGCATGATCCAGACTTGGACTACGGTGATAAATCAGCTGATACTGATCTATCAGCGTACATCAGTATCAGCTGACCAGTGGATCTTACACTACAAGTTGACTCAGTATGTGTCTGCTCACATGAGCTGAAAACACCAGAGAACTCTGTGTAACGTTTTCCAGTGAATCGGCCGATGTATCGTGATCAGATAACGATATCTGTATCAGTCACACCTTTGGAAAGTCTTTTTTTCTTGTGTTGTTGTCTCATCCTCTGACGTGTCCCAATGCTCTGGTGTGTCAGATGGTCCAGGATCCCACCCAGTTTGACGTACTGGTCATGCCCAACCTCTATGGAGATATTCTGAGGTCGGTTTATTCCACTGCACTCAACATCAACACCTAGGTCACATTTCCGGGCTGTGGAGACCGAATGTAAACTTTGAGGTGGCATGTCTGTTTCAGCGATCTGTGTGCTGGTCTGATTGGAGGACTCGGAGTCACTCCCAGCGGGAACATCGGAGCCAACGGAGTCGCCATATTTGAATCGGTGCGTTTCTCTGTCATGACGGTTTACAGGTGATGATGTCATCATCACTTGGTGTGTTGTGGACTTATTGGTTATTTAGTTTATGAATGACAAACTCAACAATGGGCCCCTTTGCTGGATGAAATTAACTCTTAATTAACAAACACATGGAATCTGATTTCAAAGCACAACTTCCTGAATCAAAGTTTTAAGTTGTAAGATGTAGATGCAGAGTTCTCTGCAGACCTCCGTCTTTCATATTACAGACACAGGACAAGACCCTGAGTCCTCCCAAACAATAACAACCTGCCGTTATAGGCAGCTCCCTCCTTGTACTGTACCTTCAGATGTTACTCTACTGAGGTGGTTTTAGAAGCCAGTATACTTGGGCTCTTTGTTGTTTGGTTTGAAATAACCCATGAAAGCCATGACATCGGCCATGTAACACCATGGATTTAGTGTGCAGCGTTTAGCTTATATTATTTAACTTCCTAGAAATAGACACTCAATTTACTGTATATAAGATGTAATAAGTAGATAATTGACAAATTTATCTAAAGTATTTTCTAATACAATTCTTTCTGAAGATTAAGTCACCAATCTGAGTTTAATAATCCATCATCTTGAGAGGTTAGCCTCTAAGTGCAGTCTGCAGCTGTCACTGCTGTCCAACTTTCGGCCCTTGACAATGACAAAGAGCCGAAAGTGAACATGAAAAAGAATGAGACAAAGCACAGACAACCTGGAGGCAACCAAGAGGGTACATTTTCACTACAAACATAGTGAGTTTTTTTTTAAATACCAGATAATAGTCCATTCCAGAAGTTCCCCTCATTCAAGCTTTTGTGTTTAAATGTCCGCAAGTCAAACAGTGTTGATGTCGGAGAAAATAAGGGAAGCTGCAGTCATGAACTGAGCGCCGTGCTTCACTAGTTTGGATGGAAGAGTGACCAGTCAGTCAGTGGCTGCTGACTAATTTTCTGTCCATCGACTAACTGATTGATTATCTGATTATTTCAGCTGTAGTAAAAATGCCGTCTTCATGTAGGCTTGTTTATCACAGCAAGGAAAAATTAGAGCAAACCTGAAAACTGCCCTGATAATTGTGATTAGATATCTAGAACTAGGTCAGACCTGAATTTTAAGATTCGGTTCAATCAGGTTCATCGTCATAGCACCAGTAAATCTTTTATTCCAGCACTGTCCAGCTCTTCAGTTCAGTCGCTTCCAGAGCAGAGGAATACAGATGAAGTTTAGGACCTGCCTCCACCTGCAGAGTTCAGGTGCATTCATGTGACTGGGCCTGAGAGTTTCTGTGTTGGTCCTGCAGGTCCATGGCACTGCCCCCGACATCGCCGGCTTAGACCTGGCGAACCCCACTGCCCTGCTGCTCAGCGCTGTCATGATGCTGCATCACATGGGTCTCCATGGCCATGCCAACAAGATCCAGACGGCCTGTTTTGACACCATCAGAGACAAGAAGGTGAGGCTCTGAGGAAGCAACGTCACCTTTGGGTGCAGGAGAAATAGGTGTAGCCTTGGTGATGTAAGTGGGGTGGACACAATAACAGAAACAGCTCTCTGCATGCACTCACTGACCACTTTATTAGCTACACCTCTACAACTGATTGCAGCCCTGCCATGACATCTATTTTTGTGCAGCTCAGTGTTTCCATTTCTGGGGAAATTGTTGGAAATGTGTGACTTCATTCATGTTTTTTACTGAGCTCATAGTTAAAACTGAACTGCCTTATATCCAGAGGTGTCTCTAGATTTTTGTCCTCCCCACTTACATACACGAGGGGGTCAGAATATCAGAAACATCATGTCCACACATACACTTGCTGTTGAGTGAAATCTGATAAACTCAGTTTAAGGCTGTAACCACGGCAACAGTGTTGCTGTGTCACCTGTCTGATAACGTCTCTATGTGACTCAGGTGTTGACAAAGGACCTGGGTGGAAACTCCAAGTGTTCAGAGTTTACGGCTGAGATCTGCCGTCGCATCCAGGATCTGGACTGAAGCTGCAGTGACTGAGCCAGCGTGGGAGTCTCCGCCCACCTGAAATGAGCCACGCCTCCCCCGCTGGCTGGTGTCTCTGTAGAGCTGCGAGGCTCCTGAGCATTCTGCTTTTCTCTCACCTGTTTCCACCTGTGTGTAAAGCTGTTTTTGCTGTAATAAGGTGACGGTGTAGAGAGGGTGGGGCTTCTGTAGCAGCTACCTGTTCAGGTCACATGATGAAACATTCACTGCAAAAATATGCACAACTTTGACATGGCCAAGTTGGAATGAGCAACTGTGAGGAGTGTTTCTTCCCAAGCATATCTTCATTAGCAACTGTAGTCATCTGAGCACTCTGCTTTGTCGACTCAGCACTCGGGTGTCTGCTGTTTTTTTTAACAGTGATGCAGCGTACGTGCACCCGAAACAGCCTCTTATTTATTGTTTCTACCTCCTATTAATGCTGCGCTCTTCAGTGTGACACATCCAGAAATGTGGAAAGGGAGATGGAGTCGGAACAGCTTGATTACACACAGCTTCTCTGCCTTTCTTCTCAAGTGCTTCACTTTCAATGACTATTAAAAATGTCTTTTTGAAAAGAGGAAACCAGTTTTAAGGCTCTTTATCTGATGCTTCCCTAACAATGAAATGAATTCATCACATCCTGTTGGAGGCTCTTTTTTCCTGACAGTGATGTTCTACAGTAACTAGTGACACTTATTTACACCGTGTGCCACATTTCACATGTTTATAATGTAACCAAAGCTTTGACACAGCCTGATAATCACTTTTTGTAGTCACATCAAAGCCATAACTAAATCAGCTGTTTATCACCTCAAACAAGCAGCAAGACTCAGAGGCCTCATGTCCAGACAAGATCTAGAGGAACTCATTCAGGCCTTCGTCTCCAGCAGGCTGGACTATTGTAATGGCCTTTTGTCTGGACTTCCCAGAAAGACTGTTAGTCAGCCTCAGCTCATTCAGATGCTGCTGCCAGAAGTTTAACCAGAGCCAGGACAACTGAGCATGTCACGCCTGCTTGTATTCTGACGCTGGCTGCCAGTTACCTACAGAATTGATTTTAAAGTGCTGCTGCTAGTTTATAAACCTCAGTGGTATGGGACCAAATGCCTGACATGTCTGATCTCCATGAAGAATCCAAACCCAGCAGGGCCCTGAGATCCTTGGGAAGCTGTCAGCTGGTAGAACGTCAGGTCAGAACCAAAGAGACAAAGGTGCATTTAGCTGCTATGCTGCACACAGGTGGAACCAGCTTCCTGATGACCTTAAACGTGCCCTGACTCGAACACTTTCTGAATGTCAACTGAACCCTCTGCTGTTTCCCTGTGCCTTTGTTTCACTGGTTTCTCTTCTGCACTGTAACGGCTGGTAAACTGTGTTTCAAACCTTTGTCTATTTGATTTTATTGTCATGTTATTTTGTCTCATTTTAACAATGTTTTATCTTCACTTTGTCTGAACTGATTTTATTCTGGTTTGGTTGCTGTTACTGTTTTTCTTTGCCTCTGTGAAAGGTGTTGTATAAATAAAGTTGCTTTGCCATGTTACTTTAAAGTTTTCTTTCTGTCACTAACAAAACAAAGACGGGGTGTAATAACGTTTGTAAATGGAAGGAAAGGAACAACCACGGCTGGAATAACCGCGGGGCAGAGATGGTACCCCCACCAAGCAGAAAGTTTTAAGACTGGAGTTCAATCCACAGGATCAGGACCCAGCTGAACATGTCCTCCAACAGGTGCCTTGTTTGATTTGCAGCAGTTGGCCTCCACCACAGGATGTAGACTCACGTCTCCCTCACTTTTCAAAAATCTTAGGCAGTTTGAAGGACAGCCGCCTTTGTTGAGTCCCTTCACATTTTCATTCCAGTGTCCTGGAAATCTGAGGGGATCTTTGTGATGGAGAGGAACCTGGGGCTAATTATTGGTGTCTACTGGGCAAAACTGGATGAAATAATCACACAGATGAACCACATGACGCTAGAGGACCAGCTTTGACAGATGAGGTCAGACTGCTCCTCGACTGGCAGCAGGATTGTCATTAGCAGTATTACTGGTGGTTTGTGTACTGCTGGTGACTTTTCCCCCAACTCTTTAAACTTCACTCAAACTGGCAACCCACCGCTGATGATGTCACATAACCACGCCCCCACTTCCGGACTGCGCCAAGCCATCAGAGGTAGACCGGAAGCACAGCAGATGTACCTTCAAAATAAGAGCTTAATTTTTGTCATCTGTAGTGACATTTAGGAGACTGATCCTCCAGCAGTCCATGACAACATGTCATATGTAAATATATAAATGTGATGAAAATGTAAAACCATTTAACATACAGATGTAAGAAGTAAACACAATATCTAAATGTAAAAGTAGTGAAGTAGTACACAGTAGTACTATTACAAGTACTGGCAAAGATACTGACTGCCAAACACTTTCAGTATTTTAGTTTCCCTGTGCAACCCTGTCACTAATAGCAGAGAGGCCCAGGTGGACATAGAGAGACTGTAGAGGAACAGAGGCAAGTGCACACACTGTGTTTTAATATATTTCATTTACACTGATGTCTATATATTTTATTGTTTTTAATGTGCGTTTTGTGATTTTGTATTCTTGATACAGATTTTATATGATTCATGTGTTTATGTTTTAGTGATTTGAAGGGGTGAACTGTCTGCCAGGGCACTATGAGAATGAGAGTTTGCTCTCAGCTTGTCTCTCCGTGAATAAATAAAGGTGATGATGATGGTGAGGTAGCACGAGGACTTCTTGTATCTTCAGTATGTGACAGACATGGATTACTGCAGTTCAAAATCCTGCACAGGCTGCATTTATCACAGCAGAGACTTTCCAGGATGTTTTCCTTCATTAGCTCCAACCTGTGACCTGTGTGCACAGACACCAGCCTCACTGGCCCAGAGAGGGTCAGTTACTGGACTCAGACCTGCCAGTCTGTGTGAGTCTTACAGAACCCAGTCACACCAGAGCCAGATGTTGCTGCTATCAAATAGACAAAGTAATTTCTTTCAGAACATTGCTGCCACTTATTTTATTAAACTGCAGGCAGAAAACCCCACCTGTGTGTAGCATACTACCAATAAAGGTGATTATCCTGTGCATTCAGCCCTGTTAATAGATCTGGTGCAATCTCTACAGCTAGAAAGGAACGAAACTTTCACTGAGAGGGAAAGTAAACACAAACGGCGACTTTTCATAGACTAGTTTTATTACCGAAACATGGCGTCCCTTATTCTTCTTTTATTATGTGTGTGTTAACACTAGGATGTTTGTCAGTACTGTAACAAAGAAGTAGTGGTTGTTTCTTAGCGTTTTATTGTGAAAAAGCCACTCCGGATGTGCGTTGAGGTGTTTTGTGGGTGCTTTGAAGAGGAACTGTTTCCTGCTCCTGTCAGCGTCGCTTCAGTGTAGACGCAGTGCTGCCAGTAAATCTGCCAGGCTAGCATCGTGCGCAGGAGGCTGGTTCCGTGAACTTACTAGGAACACCTGGGTCGACGGCGTGAACATGGCGAAGACGTACGACTATCTGTTCAAGCTGTTGCTGATCGGGGACAGCGGCGTCGGGAAGACCTGCCTCCTGTTCCGGTTTAGCGAGGACGCCTTCAACACCACCTTTATCTCCACCATCGGTGAGTGGACCGACGGGGCCACCGGGGTGTCAACGGAGCTGTCACCGGGGCTGAGAACGAGGCTCGCTTCAGAGCTAACCGACAGTCTATGACCTTTGACCCCTCAGATCAATAAGAGACCACATGAATTAATATGGGAGGTGCTATAGATACGCTGTCAGTGGTCAGTTTATTAGGCACACCTGCGTCAAACTGAGTTTAACGTAGCAGCCGTGCAGTAAATCCTCCTTCATGAAGGTAACGGTGTTCGGTTTGTTTCACAGAGGTGTTTGTTCACCTGTGGGATAAACCAGAACCATCACACTGGGTCCAGCCTCTCTGGCAATGATGATAAAACCTGGTGCTGAAACCACCCACTGATTGGAAATCTGTCCAACAGCGTTATGGGGCAGTTTTACAGACCAGATCAGTTCCTAATTTCCCATTTAGGTTTTCAGTGTTGTAGTCAGCAACAGACAGGGCTCATCTGGCTCAGACCAATTTAATTAATTCCTGTCAACTGCTTCATTAGGCCTCCAGTCACCAGTGAAACTACGGGAAGACATTTGACATGAGTTATGTCAGTGATCTGATGGCAGAGGTCAAAGGTCATCTGAGCAATGAGTGACATGTTGAATTGTTCACACAACTCTGTCACATTTCGTGTGAGGTCAGGACATGACAGAAAGAGATGGTGATGAGCAGCTTTGCTCTTCTCTGCCATGTGTCATTGTCAGCTACAGTACCTATAAAAAGTCTTCACCCCCTATTCATCCTTTTACTGATTTTATAAATCAGTCATGATCAATATATTTTGGCTTTTTGGACTAAAAACCTCTAAAGTGAAAGTGAAAGCAAGTTTCTCCAAAGTGATGTCAACTAAATAAAAATATGTAATGTGATAAGTGGTTCCATAAATATTTACCCCCTTCAAGTCGTTATTTAGTAGATGCACCTTTGGCTGCAGTCACAACACTGAATGTGTGGACAGGTCTCAATCAGGCTCGCACATCTGGACACTGCAGTTTTACTCCATTCGTCTTTGTAAAACAGCTCAAGCTCTGCCAGGTTGCATGGGGATCGGGCGTGAACAGCCCTTTTCAAGTCCAGCGACAAATCCTTTATTTGACTCGGGCTTTGACTGGGCTTTGACTCGGCCACTCCAGAACACTGACCCTGTTGTCTTTAAACCATTTCTGTGTAGCTTTCACTGTATGCTTCGGGTCATTGTCTTGCTGGAAAATGAATCTTTTCCCATACTGTAGTTCTCTTGCAGACTGAAAAAGATTGTCCTCCAGGATTTTCCTATATTTTGCTGCATTCATTTTACCCTCTACCTTTACAAGCCAGGCTTGTAAAGGTAGATGCCAAGAAGCATCCCCACAGCATGATGCAGCCACTACCGTGCTTCACAGTGGGGATGGTGTGTTTGTGGTGATGTGTAGTGTTTGGTGTCTGCCAAACATAGCGTCTTGTCTGATGGCCAAAAGGCACCATTTTGGTCTCATCAGACCAAAGAACTTTCTTCCACTTGCCCATGGAATCTCCCACATGCCTTTTGGTGAACTCTAGTCAAGATTTAATACGAGTTTTCTTCTACAGTGGCTTTCTCTTTGCTGCTCTTCTATAAAGCTTTGACTAGTGAAGAACCTGGGCAACAGTTGTTGTATGCAGAGTCTCTCCCATCTCAGCTGCTGAAGCTTGTAGCTCCTTCAGAGTAGTTGTAGGTGTTCTGGTGGCCTCTCTCACTAGTCTCCTTCTTGTACGGTCACTCAGGTTGTGAGGACGACCTGATCTAGGCAGATTTAGACATGTGCCATAGTCCTTCCATTGCTTGGTGATGGATTTAACTGAACTCCAAGGGATGTTCAGTGCCTTGGAAATGTTTTGTATCCATCCACTGACTTGTACTTTTCAAGAACCTTTCCTCTGAGTTGCTTTGAGTGTTCTTTAGTCTTCATGGTGTAATGGTAGCCAGGAATACTGATTAACAAGTGACTGGACCTTCCAGACACAGGTGTGTTTATACTATGATAACCTGAGACCCATTCATTGCACTCAGGTGATCCCCATTTCACTATATGTGAGACCACTAGCACCAACTGGCTGGACTAGGTCAGTCATGTAATGGGATAAATATTCAACCCCTTTAAAATATTTTTATTTAATTGACAGTACTTTGTAGAAACCTGTTTTCACTTTGACATTAAAGAAGTTTTTTTGTAATTTGTTTTAAAGCCAAATTATATTGACCATGATTGATTTATAAATTCAATAAAAGGGTAAAACATCAATGGGGGTTGATACTTTTTATAGGCACTGTACATATCTGTAGGTGTTTGGGGTTTTGGTCAAACAAAACAAGACCTTTCTCCTTCAACTCTGCAATGTTCGGATTGGTTGTCTTTGAGTTTTTATAGCCTAAATGATTTTAACTTAGCGAGGGAGGACCTCAGGTAACACCTGCAAAATGTCACAACAACAACTGTGTTTCCATTCTTTGCCTTGATGCAAGCACCAGAACACTGAAAGGAGGAGTTGGGTGTGTATATTGAAAAATACCCTGTATAGGCCTACTAGGGTTGTCAGGGTTCGCAAAACTGATGATTGGGTAGGTACCTTGGATCTGAAGTCACGGTTCGGTTCATTTTTGGTACAGTAAGGGGAAAAAATACACGTCATACAATTGATTGTCGTTTATTATAAACCTTTGTTAACATCAATGGTTTATAATTTTTAAGATTAAAGTTTAAATGAAACATAAATAAAATCTATACAAATAGAATAAAAAGGGAATGCTGCTACAAACAACTATGAGTGCTCCAGTTAGCAGGGAAAGGCTGTTGACATGGTGAACTTTCTTTTCAAATCTATGTTCCCACACAAACATATGAAGTGGCGAACCTGTTTGCAACAGCACATCGAGCCTAGCCCGGCCTGTGGCCAGCCAATGACTTGGCCCTCCCTCACCAGTAACAGTCTCCTGTTTGAGAACACTTTGGCTTCCCGGTGAAACGCCACTATGTACACAGACGTCTTACTTGTTTACTGTGCTCCAGCCCACCACTTAATCTGTTCACTTAGCGGTGACTGGGTTTGTTTTTGGCAACATGTCAAACTTGTTAACTCATTTGAATTGGCACCACTTGAACATCACTGCCTCAAGGAAGCAGCGAGCGCAGTACAAACTCTGCTTCCTTCACCATGGTTACTGATGCAGGTGATCAGCTGTTTCAGTGACATTCTGCCCAATGAATATTTCTCCTTGAGTCACATAATGTATTTCTTGGTCTTTGGACTGTTACCCAACAGAAAACCAAGTAATGCAGACTGGCCAAAATGTCCCCATGGTGCAGAAATGTCCTCAGTGTAGAAATGTGCTCCTCAGTATGAAGGTCTGAAACTGATGCTGGTCCTCACAAAGATAGCTGACCACACTCTGTGTTTCTGCTGCATCCGCTGAGTGTCACGTGGTTTCTGCTGGAAACAGGAAGTGGGAACTCTCTTCTTCTGTCCCCGCAGTGACACAACAATTTACTGTGTTTGTGAGGACTGTGTTAAACATTGCGGTGATGGTACTCCTACACTGTGAGGACATTTGTGTGGTCTTCTACTTCACACGTCTGGCTGAAGGTTCAGAGCTGGTTTTAAGGTTTGGACCAGATTTTGTTTGGGTAATGAGACTCGGTGAGGGTCCTCGCACAGAGTTGGCAGTGAGACGTACTCATCTTGTTGTCTGACATTTAGACTAAAATGAAGTGGATAGACTGCATGTGGTGGTCAAACTGGAGACGCAGAGAGGAAATGACAGCTCACACATGTAATCATTGAGTTTGAGTTCTCTGCACATTGTGTCATCATATTACCTATTAACTAGTATTTAGTCTTGGTCCCTGTGTCACTGGTCTCTTTATGGCCTCAGGAGTTGGTGCTTGATTTGTCTGATTCTGTACTGGATCGGTGCGTCCTGTTGCCTGTCAGGGTATCGATCAGTCATCGGGTCTCCTCACACAAACACATCTCTTTTATGTTGTCATCAAGTCACGCTCACGCTGTGATGCGTCAGGCCGAGGACACACACTGATTTGTATGAACGGCTTGCTCTGTGATGATGTGTCACAGTCTCTGCTGGTTTGCTCCCAGTTCAGCTGCTGGTCTGCGTGAATGTTAAATGAGCTCCCACAGTGCTTTGCAGCTGTGGTCAAACAGAGGCTGCTCTGTGGCGAGAGTCAGCTGACCTCTGAGTGTGAACATGTGGAAGTGGGCGGACTTGCTGTTGTTCTGGGAGGATTTCCAGCTGACTGAGGTGCACACCCAGACACACACGCGTGGACCCAGTAACGCACTGTCCTGATCCACAGGTCGAGCGTCACAATGCTGCCTGCTCTCAGTCGACACAGGAGTCTGTGTTAAACACTGCGTGTGAGCAGAGGTTACTGAGCGATCAATCAGCCCACCGCTGAACGATGACTATATTGATTGAGAAAATAATTAACTGACACCGAGATTGTTGGGTGTAACGTCAGCCTGATACTGAGCAGCTCTTCACTGACTGTTTTCTTTTGCTCTCGGCTAGGAAACCTCCAGGCTGCATCTTTGAGCAGAGCTAACTTACTGTTCCACCTCTGCTGCAGTGTGTGCACGTTGTGTGCATGTGGTATTCAGTGTGTTTCCTGTCTTCAGTGTACATGTCAGCGCTGCTACATGTCCGCCTGTGTCTGTTTTTCTGTAACAAGCGGCGGTGACGAGGTTTCACTTCCTGCTGTCAGAGCAGTGAAACAGGGAACAGAGGGAAGAGTTTCAGCGTCAACTCACCAAGGGGTCAGTTTATTAGGAACAGCTGTGTCAGACAGCACCAAGCCGCCCTGGCCTCCCCCAGTCTGAGGCCCACAGAGGTTTACTTACTATGACAGGAAACAGAGACACTGGCAGTTGAGAAGCTGGAACGTGCACAGTGGTTGTTATAATGGTGTTTGCACATATTTCCTCTCTCTTGTTGACCTATAAGCACATGGAGAGCCTCTGTACCAGAGAGTGTGTTTAAACATGGGCCAGATGAACGTGATCCTGATCACGATGTGTGAATTGACCATGTATTGTTGACTGTTCACACAGTCTACACCCTTATTTGCATTTTAAGCATCGAGGAAGGCGTCCTCACTGTATAGCCGTCCTGTTTTGTGCAGGCATGTTTGCTTGTCTTTTGTTGAGTTTATGCATGTCTTTGGCTGCAGGAGCTAAAGAGTTCCTTGATTCTGTCTTTTCTATCCACACAGTAAAAATGGTAGAATGATTCAGACACCCAGTTTTTAGAATTTTCACCCATGTGAGGCTGAAATAGTCCAAATGGACATAATGTGTAGGAAACAACAGCCTTTGCCTGGTGTGACAGTGAACAGAATGTTAGTCCACTCTCAGCAGTCACGAGGAGCATTTCTCAGGCTTTTCTGATGTTCCTGGAACACATGATAAATCAAGAAGATAATGAGTTCCAGCTGTGAGCGTGCCACATGAGGGCAGCCACATCCAGCTGAGGGGCCAGCGTGCGTGAGGCAGGTCTGGGTGCGGCTGGTCCTGAGCTCCTCATGCTGTGACCCGCCTCAGTTTGGAGCAGGAAGTGCTGGAGGAAGCAGATTCATCCTCCTCAGAGCAGGAAGCAGGGTCTGTTCACACCCAGCCAGCTCAGGGTTTGTTTTAGGCGCCTCCCACTGCCAGGTGGGCGGAGCTAAACACGTGAAGGCCTTTTTGAACAGCGTGAGGAGAAAATGAGCAGGTTGCCTCAACTGACTGACTGGTTAGACTCCAGGTTTACAGGAGGCTTCTGTGGTGACATCAGCTCAGAGTGTCTCACACCATTTCCACCCTACACCATCAGTTCTAATGGTTTATTCATTATGGACGAGAACAATACAATGATTTGTGTGTTATTTAAACTAGATGGTGTGTGTTGCTGATTGTAACTCAGATGAAGATCTGATATTTTGAGACACATTTTACATAAAGGCGGGTTATTCCGAAGGGCCACTTCCTTTTTCTTGCCGCCTGTTGTGGTAAATCTCACAATGAATGTGACTGTTGTTTCTGTCTTGTGTGTTTTCAGGAATTGACTTTAAAATCAGGACGATAGAGCTGGATGGCAAGAAGATCAAACTTCAGATCTGGTGAGTCTGTGGTCACATCAATGTTGGTCCTCAGTGAAGGTGCAGTCAGACTCAAACTGTGTGAAATGGGGTGAGACTCGGCCGCCTCCTCGTGCTCTCAAGTGATTGACCTTTGACCTTGTGACGTCTGGAGGTTCTCCAGTGTCCCGGCAGTGTGAGACGGGGCAGAACTGAGCTCCCATTTAGGAAATATTGCTTCTCATCTGACTGCAGGAGAAATAATCCAAGCAGCTGTTTGGCTGCGGTGAATGTGGCACAGTGACAGAGGCCAAGGAACGCAGCCACTGACTTTGTATGTTTGTTATGTTGCACAAATCTCATCCAGACACTAACAGCAGCAGTGAATGTGGTGTCCTCACAGCTCCAACACGTTGTCATGATATTTATGTTTAGCTTGTTCCTCTGATGGGATGTTAGTACTACAGCTGGTGTAGCTCTACTTGATCCAAACATTAGTTGTCATATGGCCTGACTGTCGGGACCACATGTGTACATCAAGACATGAATAGTTGACAAATGCACAGTTTCGGTAAGAGAACAGGGTGTTGATGTCTGTGCATTGTGTTAAAGCAAGTCATGGCCAAACACATATCCATAAAATGGGTAGCATATGGTGCGACTCCATATACTGTGTTTTTATTAGGTAACACTTTGGACATTACTATGGTGAAGAGGTCTGTGTTCATCCAGGAAGCTAAAATCATCTATTGACCTTACAAAAGACTCCAGAGGTGATTTTAGCTTTTTTATTTTTAACTGCAAAGCTCTGATGCTAATATCCTTGTTAGTGGTCGGGTTTTTGTCTTATGGTGCCACATCATTTACATTAAAGTGCTTTTTACAGTTATTAGTTACTATCTCTTAAAATCCTTGCTGCCATATGGATAATGATGAGTAAAAGCTGGATGTTTCAGTTGGTGTAAAGATGAGCTAACCTGAACTATAGATCGCACGATGTGCCACACCATATTACATAAACATTATTTTACACAAATATTCAACTTGCATAGTGAATTAATTTAATGCTAAAATGAAGGAAGTTGATTTTAGTGCTGCGTGCCTAAAGCAGAAAACTGAATCTATATTTTATAGGAAAAATAGTCTGTCACACAATGAGGCCATTTTTTAGTGTTGTACAGAACAACAATCAAAAATGGAGTTAAAAATACTAAATGAACAATATACTTTCCCGAATAGAAGAGTATGGGCTGTGGAGGCTTTGTGGTTTCGAGTTCTTTAAAAAAAAACCTCACATTTCTATTTACAAAATCACTAGCTGCATCCTAACTGCCATTAGCTGCTAGCCACGCTAGCTCCTGTCTCTGCCTGGTTTTGGAGAGCACATTTGGTGTGACTGCACCCTGAGTCCAGCTCCACTCTCTGCTTTAATGTTTGACCACCCCCTGACTGAGGTGGATGCCGATGCAGGGGTCAGAGACTGAATAGTCTGCTTCCTGTTCCTGCAGGGACACTGCGGGTCAGGAGAGGTTCAGGACTATCACAACAGCCTATTACAGAGGAGCCATGGTGAGTGTACCTCTCTGCTATTGGTCAGATGACGTGTCAGTCACAGAGATGAACCAGACACTGAGACTGTACATTAACAAGTCAGAGCTGGGCCGATGGAAGGAGACAGTAAACAGAGTCTGACGCCATTGTTGTTAAAACAGTTCCAGCTGGAATTTTGTCAACTTCATGTATGCATGCAAAATGTTTTAACTGATTAATTCTTCAGCTACCCGTCTTCATCATTCATCAACAAGTGATCTGATCAGCCAGTCGATTATCAGTCCATAAAGCCACAGATCAAACAAGTCCTCGAAAGCCCGACGGACTTTAACCTGTGCTGCAGCTGTCGTGTCACAACGAGCACAGCAAACGATGAGTTTGTCTTAAAACAAATTATATGCAGTGGTTAAAGACTAAAAAAGACAAACAGAACAGAGTCGAGACAGACCCATAATGTACACTGACAGCCTGATATTCCTAAAATAATAAGTGATTTCCCACGTCTTCCTGTGACAAGTGTTGTTCACGTGACTGTGCTGAAAACAGGAAAGAAGCTGGAACCAGCACATATTGTGACTTTTTAAAAATAAACTGACCTAGACGGACGGTGCAGCTCTGGGCACGTGAGGAACAAGGCTTGACCAAAGGCAGGAGGTGACTATGCTCCTAGCTCCTTCATGGTACTTTGACTAATTGTTGAATTTTTGTTTTTAGTTTCCACTGGAGTACACTTGCACCTCGACTCCGTGTCTTGCTGTGTGACATTAAAAGAGTTTGAACCTGTTTTGTGCAAATGTCGCTTTGTTCAGGATCAGTCTGGCACTTCCTGTGTGATGTCACTTCCTGTGTTTGTGTTTCAGGGTATCATGTTGGTGTATGACATCACCAATGAGAAATCCTTCGATAACATCAGGAACTGGATCCGAAACATCGAGGAGGTAGGCCACGCCCCTGTGACATCACACCGCAACATAACATGACACAGCTGCTCCAGGGTTTTTAAACCACTGACAGGATATAAAAATGGAGGAAGTGACAGCTCCCAGGAGGCCAGTGGCACATTTAACCCACCAGCTGCTGAGAAAATGTCCTCAAACTATAGCTCAGACCCACAGCTACACTTCCTCTGTGACCACGCTGTAGCTTATATAGCTTAAAACTAACATGTAATGGTGTCCCACACTGACTGCACATCCATATCTCTGTGTTTGCAGCACGCGTCTTCAGACGTGGAGAGGATGGTTCTGGGAAACAAATGTGACATGAACGAGAAGAGACAAGTGTCCAAGGAGAGAGGAGAGAAGGTAGGACCAGTTGACTGTAAGGGGCCAGGCTGTATGAGGCTGTGAATGAGACTGGCGTGGGCCTCACCCGCCCTGGAGCAAGAACACCGATGTTATATTGTGATTATGATGCCGACCATGACAGAAACACTCAGATCAGATCTTTATTGATGCCAGAGGGAAAGACAAAAACGGTTGACTGCGTGAAACCACTGTGTGTGGCCAACTAACCACAAGCAGGAATGGCAGGCTAACTTCTCTTCTTGTTCAGCTGGCGATCGATTACGGGATCAAGTTTCTGGAAACCAGCGCTAAGTCCAGCATCAACGTGGAGGAGGTGAGTCCTGAGCCTGATTTATGCACAAGCAAAATGTCATGTCTTGCAGTGCATAGCAACAAAACCAAACAGCTCTGGTGTTTGCTTTGCCTCCACAGGCCTTTTACACTCTGGCCAGAGACATCATGACCAGACTGAAGAGGAAAATGGTGAGAAGCCAAAAGTTATGTCTTAAAGTAGAACATCAGCTGAGAGACAGACCTGTCTCATGTCTCTTCTACGGTCTTGTTCCTTGGTCCTTGAGTGACCCGCGAGGACACATGAGAGCACCCTTTACCAAAGTCTTTAAGGAGTGAACCACCCTTTTATCAGAAATCAGCTGGTGATTGGATGCTTCAGGTGAAGGATCGGAGGAAAGGACATCTCCTACCATTAATTACACCTTTCCTCGGGTCCTCTTTCTTTGCATCATTTCCAAGCATTTTAAGTGGGTGGGACTAAGACAAGAACAAGATACAAGTGAGGGAAACATGGACCTACATAAGATGCAGCCTCTGTCTTCTGAGAAAATCCCAATTCCCTTAACTGCATCCACGTTTTCCTCACTTCTTTCCTTGTCTTAGTGATGCCCACCTAAGATGTGAGGAGAGAGGACTCCAGGAAATGTGCTATTAATGACATGCGATGTACTATCCTTCATCTGAAGCATCCAGATGATTTCCAACAAAGGGGCTTGTCAGTCCTTAACAGACTTCTGCAAAGGATGCACTCGTGTAGCCGTTTGTGGCTCCTCCAGGCAGCTTCCTTGCTCCTCGAAGCAGAACGAAGAGCTTTGGGACGTCCTTCATCATGGCAGACCAGAACAGCTTCCGGGTCAAGTGAGGATCGAGGAACAATAAAATATGGGATTTGGGATTCACCCAACAAGAGTCATCTTGAAGGACCTCCCAGATCTCCTATTCCTGCACTGAGGAGCGAGGAGGCTACAGGAGGAACCCGCTCCTTTCTCAGACATCAGCTGGTGATTGGACACTTCACCTGAAGCATCGGCGGACAGGATGTCTTGTCTCTAAAAACATGTTTCCTCCATCTCCTTGCATCTTATGTGGGCGGGACTTAGACAAGAAAAAGACACAGGCGAGGGAAACGTGGATGCAGTTAAGGGAAGTGGGACTGACCTAGAGAGGAGAGAGAGCGAGGAAGCTGATTGGTCTGTGTTCTTACCTGAGAGTATACACTTTTGATGATGTTTCTTCTTCTCCTGTTTCCTCCAGAATGACACCACCCCACCAGGTGGAGGCGGCCCAGTTAAGATCACAGAGTCTCGTTCAAAAAAGAGCTTCTTCAGGTGTACGCTGCTGTAGGCGGGCCTCAGCTCACACCTGCACGAGAAAGGACACACCTGTGGAAAAAAACAACCAGACATGCTGAGTTCATCTGCTCTGCACCCCGCTGCCTTCTTCTTCTTCTGTTTCTCTTAAGGTCAGGAGGTGGAGCAGACTGCGACTGCACTGGGGTGAAGGACAGTGAGTGATGAGGACGATGAAGAGCAGAGCCGAGCACACTGTTTTTACCAAAGAGGAAGTTCATGTTTTCTGTTGAAATGTTGAAGAAAAACAAAGTTATTGTAAAGGGTCAAGCTGTCAGATTTCAGTGACACTGGCGACGTGCACATGGACGAGCTCGCTGTGGCTCTGACTGTTGCACGTTGGTGACAATCAGTTCACACAGCGACTTCGTTTAAATTAACTCTCTGCAGTTTGGGCCTGTGACATTTAGGTGACTGAGGTGAAAAGAAGCAAACGCAGGCTGTGGGCAGGTGTTTACCCGGGTCCTTAACAGGTAACATGGGAACAGAGGCTCACATTAACGTCCGTCCTTTATCTGCACAGACTGAACGTGGACTAGTCCAAGCTTTGACATAGAAGTGTACGATAAAGTAAAAAATGGTTTCTAAACTCTTTCCTTACTGTCTTTAAGAGAAACTCAGCTTCATTTTAAAATGAACAGGTATAAAAAGGATAAAACAGCTTTGAAAGGCTGGAGGTAAACATTCTACTGTCGACAAACTCTGACTGAAACAAACGGTAAATCGCCAGTTTCCAAACTCACTCATATTCTCCTTACAGACCTAAGAACATGACATTTATTTTTAAATGGATTGAAACAATACTCCACATGCCTTTCACTGATCATCCTCAATCTAAACTGACCACCTTTGTCTTATTTCGAGCCAACGTAAACATTCACTAACCAAACGTTCTTTAAATGGATCAGTACTGACGTGAACATCTGACGCACAGGCCCTTGTGAAATAAGTCCTGCAGTATGTGCATGTGCCCGTACGTTTGCACTGATGACAATTGGTTTGTTGAACGAGGTTTAAGGCCTCGCTCTTCACACCAGGAACGAAGGAAAGTGACCGAGTCTTCATTGAACTCGGACATTTGGCTGAAACCTGACGTGTGAAGTCTGTCAGTGCAGCGTCAGCTTTGCGTTCACATCGGGCTGCTTGTTTCTCTGTTGCGCATTGGTTTCAGTTCAGTCACGCAGTGGTTCAACTGGTCGAACCAGTAACGCGCTGAACACACGCGCCCGTTTCAGGCGATCTGGTTCAAGGTCTGAACCTGAACCTCCTCCGTGAAGCATCAACACATTACTTATGTTTGATGCATTAATCATGTTTATAAATGTCTTCACACTGTCAGCAGGTTTCACCCAGAACTTTCAGCTACACTCTGTGGCCTTCATCAGCTGCTCAGTTGCCATGGAGACTAATAACATTTATAAACAAACTGGCCACACAATGTATACGAGACATCTATTCATCTGTTTCATTACTAACTCCCATAAATTTTGATGCTCCTGTCTGATCAGTCTCGTGATTCTGACACGTTTGTTTCATGTTTCTCTTTAGTGTTTTGTCATTTAATCTATTTAACAACTTTAATTTAGTTTAAAATTAAGTTGGATCAAGTCACTTCTGTCTCTGTGATTGATTTATCAATCCCAGTATGAACACAATCGGCTGATCAGCGAGCAGATAATCAGGTTTGAACGTGAATCTGAGCAGAGGTCTGAATTCACTGAAAATATTCTAACTGCTTTGTCAGATTTATTGTAAAAACCTGTTTTTGACTGGAGTCTGGTTTGTTCATTTACATGCTGATTATATTTTTCACAACTTTGTAACTTTGCAGAAACTGCGCTATGCAAAAATATGATTTTTGAGTGTGTTACTGAACTCTGCTGCACTTGCATGTAATTTGCAGAAAAAGGCCACCTTTTCAATTTTTATTTTCTTGAAGTTCTGATTATTTTTTAAACTGTGAAGTCAGACTTTTGGCCTTTTCACACCAAGTCTGATGTTTCACAGGAAAACAGTTTTGTTTTTAATAAAGACATTTCAGCTTTGAGTTGGTTGTGTTAAGCTGACTACACACTGCTGCTTTTCATCCACACAGAGCCGTCTGTGGGAGTCTGTGTACTGTACATGGAATATTTACTGGCAGACATGTTGGTGGAGTTAAAGTGCTTTATGTCAGGGACCACTCAGATGTAATGGTGGTACTTTATTTTATGTTCTCCAAAAAGCCCTGCACATGTGACTCAACAAACGTCTTGAGTCAGTTTATGAAAACATGTTTGTCTGTTGTTGTAATCTGAGCTCTTACCTGATATTCTGAAGTAGATTCACTAATATCAGGGGTGACAGAGCGGTACGCAGGAATCTTCTCTGTGACATGCATTAGGGCGATTAATCGAAATTGGTTTAATTACATTTTTTGGCATCTAGCAATCATGAAAACAAAATCGAGATAAAAAGGTTATTGTGTTGCACCGTTTTACTATGATGTGCTCGTTGTCTTGTTTTATATATGTCCAACGCAGCCCTTCAGTGCTCTGCAGTGTGAGCATGTTTTGCTCACATCAGGTGAAATGAGACGTTACTGGAGGTGATGACAGCTCAGGTTGTTACTGTATGTACAATAAAACCTCTGCGAGTAAAAAGTCAGTAAGAGTAATGTCAAAACACCCACTCAACAAGCATAAACCTGCAGGGAAGTGATCATTTCAGCTTTGCCTGCAGTCTGTCATCCACCACCAGTTTAACCACAACAAGATCTCAACATATTGACCAACATAATCACGATTATGATTTTGGCCATAATCGAGCAGGCCCAGGGTAGAAAGCCAAGGTTTTGTTGAGAAGCAGACAGACGAACTCTCACCTGCAGCAGGAGGTCCACCTGGTCATCTGGGCAGGAGTCCTGAGACCAGAAACTGGATCCAGAGCAACTGGGAGGACTGGGATCAGGTGAGTGAGCTCCCCTCACATCATGCGTCATGTGTCCATCCTCCATGTGACATCATCAGCGCCACTCTTCTCTGATCCACCAGCAGCTCGTTTCACTAGTTCTACTTCATGTTTGTGTATTTTACTGTAGTTTTATTCTGCACTGCAAGGTCGGTCTAAAAACGAGTGGCCTCGTATATGGGATATATGGTTGCTAATATAACTGTTTACAAGCTATTCACTGTCACAGTTGAGTGCCAAACACTGTTTTCTCTTATTCCACTTTCTCATTTTCACTTTCTCAGCTACACATGTGTCCACTACGTTATTTGTCTGTACAGTTTGTGCTCTTCCATTGGTGTTTCAGTCCAAAATGGTGCCAACTAGCAGCTGTTGTCAAAAGCACCAGTTTCATCTCTTTGCTTCTGTACTTTCACTGAGCTTTTGTCACAGGTTTACTTTCTTTCTTCTAAGTTGTTTAAACGATGACCTATCCTTCTCCACCTTCGGACCACACTGTGTACAGTAATGCGCAAGGGGGTGACACTGTTGTAGACTCACCAACAGGTGGTAGTGTTGCCCTGGAAGCCTCTGTCTCTCTCTGAAGATCTGGATAAGATTATTTAGTGCACACAGGAAGTAAACCTTTCTGCTGTCCGTCTGCTCCAGGGTGTGCGGGGTCGCACCTGGTCCACGTCCCTGCAGGTGTAGAGGGTGAATGAGACACTACGCTGTGTCTTCATTCTCCACACTAACAGTTTCTGTCACTTCTCATGTGAACACCTGAACGTTCACGTCATGTGTCCACCCTCAGTGTGACAGGCAGGTGACACCTCCACCTTCAGCTGGCGCTTTAAAACAGCTATACACACACTAGTTCTTTTAGTTCACTTTCTTTGTTCTGTCCTTTGGGTCAAACTCCAGCAACTTCAGCTCCTACATTTCCCATAATGCAGCTGGATAGCGCCTTTCACTGGAGCCTTCCTACCACGTTTCAAACTCTACACCTGCAGCTTGTGTGAGACGTGGAAAGCAGCCAATGAAGGCGAGACAGCTGAAAACATCTGGTCAATAAACATCTGGTCTAATGGAGATTTGTAGTCCAATCAGCTGCTTTCCTCTGCAGGCACACAGGTGTTTCACCGAAGCTGATCTTTGGTAATCGAATGTGCACCTAGTCCCAGGCTGTGGCTCATCCATGCATCCTCACTGAGTCCGAGTGCCGCAATCTGGTGGCGGTGCGCTGCAGCTGGTGGAGCAGCACTGGACTGGACCCAGTGACACCAGCAGTTCCTGGTCAAACAACAAAACCCGTAGGAGACACAACAGCATCTTTCCTGATTTTCAGCCATCTTAGTTGTAGTCTAGACCTTGTTCAGTTCCCTCTGCCTGCTGCAGAGGAGAATATGCAGAAATACGGTAGTTTTAGTTTTCAGTTTTCTGAAGCGGTGGTACTGTTGCTGAAAAAAAGCTTAAGCTCGGCTCAACTGGTGATAATGGTCAACTGCACTACTGTATTAACTTCGTATGAAGGAGTATGTGAAGGAATTTTAATATTCATGAGTTTAAGAATGCAAAATATTAAGTAAGGACTGAATGGAAGATGCTGCGTAAGGAGTGACCACCTGTACAGAGACAGAGGTGGCATGTCCCTGAGATGTACAGAGATCATTACTATTCGGAGCAGACATTTTAAACAGCAGCAGGATCTGAAATATCCGGTAGACTGATGCTATGGTGAGGCCAAACTGTGATCCAGTTGGATCAACCAGCAATCTAGCTGAAAAGTACCTCACAAACTCTTGCCTATTAAAATAGACCTTTAAGCCTATTGCCTAATTTTTTGACTTTCTGAGAGAGCAGTTTCTGCTGAAGGCGCAACTGTACAACATTGTGTTTGTGGTGGTAAAAGTGTTGGCAACAGAATGAGTTACATTTCAGTTTCATCATAAAAACTCTGGCTTCATTTATGAATAGAGCAGCTGCTTGGCCCTGGTCCTGTCGCCCGGAGGCTCACAGCGAATCTTAAATAAACCCGACTGCTTAGTCATATTTTCTGAATCAAGACAAATTTGTCTACAACTGTTGAACAAGTTAGGGTCGTTGAGTTTTACGGTATGAAACTGAATAGTTGAATAATTTGCTTATTACCACCTTTCTTCCCCGACTGTCTGTCAGACTCCGCAACGGGCACCACACGCACACGTTCACCCACAAACGGCAGAGGGGACGAGGCTGAAATCACCAAACTCCATCCACCAAGCGGGAAGTTTAAACCAGCAGTGGAGGATTAGTTTGGGCATCTCAGAAACGGACCCCTTCGAAGGCACCGCCCCTCCGTCCAGGTCAGAGTGCGCGTCCAGTTCATAACTTTAACGCAGGTTATAAAACGCGATAATTCTCCAAATTATCTGCTCGTTCACTGATCTCTGACTTACAAAAGGACTCGCACTGATCTGAGCCCAGATACAGACTCTCCCGGCTCACATGCATGAGTATGTGTGCGTGTATGCGCTCATGAATGAAGGCGCAGACAGGTGTAGCTGCGCTGTCGCACACCTTCAGTAAATTAATAATTATTCTACTGTCAGAGGTTTTACAACCCAGTCAGTCGATCAACGGAGAAAATAACCAGCAGCTGCACTTGGATCCGAACCAGTTCAGCAGAGCTACAGCTCGACCAGCGGCACCAGCCACGTCCTGCTTTACGTCAGTGCGTGAGACAGGCTGGTGATGTGACAATATATAATAGACTGTGAAGTGTAACGCTGTTCTGCACCGAGCAGCCTACGGACCAACACGTTTCTGAGCCCGGTCAGAACAAACGGGACAGCAGCAGTCCCGCCTAATAATTGTGCAAACACGGTCACTCCTTACGGTTTCTGTCTCTGTGGGCTCATCTATCGCCACATGCTAAAAGTCCAACGGACTGAACGCCTCAGAGCTTTGAATCCAACAAACGCGTTACCTCCGAGAAACCACAGAAGCGTCTCGTTTTCGCTTTGTACGCAAATATTCGGCACGAACCAAGGCTGTGAACGTATTCTCCGCGTTCAAACATCTGCGTAAACTACTGGCCAGAGAGTGAGCCAATCGAAGACTCCGATACCAGCAACAACTACACACGGAAGAGCCAACGTGGCCAATCACGTGCTTCGCTCGGGATGAAAGACAGGTATTTTAGCCAATGAAATCGCGAGGAAAGCTGCGTGCGGCCCATCGAGATTTTCTCTGAAGTTATGCCAGCTTTTTAAACGTAGGGTAAAATAAAAAAAAAAAAGTGTAAATACCTTATGTAGTGTTGTTGAATCATGCCAGAACATTTAGCAGTTTTACAGATCTAAAAACCTGTGATACAGTGTGGTTCCTACTCTGGAGCTTCCAAATGTCCATGCTAGTGTAGGCCTGGCCTGTTTCCTTCTGCGGGTGGAGCCGGCCAGGACGGTGGTTGCGCTGGGATTATTAAGGTGAAACTGATGTTAACTACCTTAAATACTCTGACAGGCCACTTTATTAGGCACACCTGTACCACTGCATGCACTTCAGTGCAGCACTTCCACCTTAACATCTGTGTATGAAGCTCAACACGTTTCAGTTTTTGGTGAAATTGTCAAACGTACACGTTCATTTATACGTTTATTACTGAGGCCACAGTTAAAGGTGGTGTTACATTGGACTACATTATACTCACGGGTGTCTATAGTTTTGACCTCTCCAGCTACATTAGAGGGTCAACATATTAGGAACACCCGTGAGTATAATGTAGTCCAGTGCAACACCACCTTTAACTGTGGCCTCAATAATAAACATAGAATTGAATATGAAACCATCATGATTTGGTCACTTTGAAACTGTGCTGCAAGTGGTCTGAAGCATGTCCATATGCTGTTTCAAGTCTGACCATCACTGCTTTGCAGGACGTTTAGCTGGATTCAATAGAAACTGTGTTGGTAAAAGATTTACTATATAAAAAATATAAATTTCTGTAGCAACATATGGTAAAGGGTGCTGCACCATGATAGAACACAGCTGAGACACAGCAGCAGCACAGGAAGTAGCTCCCTGTGACTGCAGCCAGACTGAATACAGAAGGTGAAGAGACTGTGTCTCAGGAGAGGCTGAAGGAAAACTACCCACTGATACAGAGGAGACCAGAGCTGACCTCAGAACAGCAAACGCACACACGATGACAGAGACACAGTTTAACACATGACCAAGTAAACAGCATGTTGGTGATGTTCACGAAATATCAAACAGTGTCTGGAGGCAGGAGAAAAGGTTCAGCTGCCTCTGAACAGTCTGATTCACTGTTGATCAGACAAAGAAGAAACCTCTGTGGTCCGATGACTGTTCAGAGACCAGTCTGCAGCCGAGGGTCTGTTTGGAACAACCTCATGTTTATTACTCAGGTAAGAAAAGTGTCTGGGTTTATTTACACACATATACAGTTAGTTCAGCTGAGCCCTGGATCTGCACAATAAACAACAAGAGAAAGGACGAACAGCAGCTGTGACAGTCGCACCACAACAGTGATTATGTACAGAACAAACTCTACTGCAGCTGAAGGTCAACAACATAAATACAACAGGGTCTGAAATCGGACTAGTTCAGCAGTGTGTTTCAGCTCCGCCCAGACACAGCAGCAGGAAGGACACCACCTGCAGAGACACACAGCACACAGGTATGTGGACATGTGTGTATGTGTTTGGACAAGTTATCACACATGAACACCCACTGCACCCATCATGGTCTCCTTTACATTCTTCTGTTTTATATCACCTGCTTCCCCCTCAGTGTTTAGCCCTGGCTCTGGAGCTGTATGTCTCTGATGAGCAGTCACCAGCCACATCGCCATTACATGTCACCAACTGTCTCTTCTCCCCTTTACATGTAATTTTTACATCAATATGTGAAACTGAAAACCCAGAAGATTTAAGACTCTCCTTCTAGTGTAAGTTACACTGTGAACTCCCATATTCTCACCGTGAAACACTGCACTGGCAACTGCGAGACAGACACATGTGCAGGAGTCAGTCTGATCAGCAGGTGCTCTGTCTTAGTCAGCTGTGAGCCATGGAACTTTACCCAACACTGCCTGACACTTGGTGGATGTGGTGCTGTCATCCACAGAGGAAACACTCCCCATGCTACCACACCAAAGTAAAAGTCTGGGGACATGTTGCTGCTTCTAAACCTCCAAGACAAATCGTGTTCATTTGTCAGGAAATAATCTTGAAAACCAAAATGCATGAAACAAAAAAAGGACATATCCAGATGTTTGAGGTCTAGAGGCAGCAGCATGACTTCACATCCTGTGGCATCACATCTGAAATGATTCTGATCTGCCTGGTTTCAGTTTATGATTTGAAGTTTCTGGTTCATGTCTAGTCCTGAGACGTTTACTGACACCTCATCTGCAGTCACACCAGACGCAGCACAGCTGGAGGTGATCCCAGTGACAACAGACCTCAGGACCCATCCACTGGGGATCACAATTGATTAAAGACTGCAGCCATTTGCCCGTGTAAAACTGTAAAGCGCTGTCAGCGTCTGGGCAGAGCTATGTTAGCAGAGACTTACAGTGGGTGTGTCAGGCGGGCTGCCTCACACGACGGTGGCCGGGCTGATGACCGCAGCAGTTTTCTAAGGATGGACACACACAGTTAACACTTATTCTCTGCCCTGCCCCCACACTTTACATCCCCCCATTATCAGTACTCACAGCTGATAGGTACTGGCTGCTGAGGCGCTGCTTGTTGGACGGGGGCTGGGTGGGGGGGCTCGGCTCCTCGGGCAGCGCCTCCTGGAGGTGGGAGGACACACAGCCGCTGTCGGAACCGGTGGAGCCAGAGAGACAGCGAGAGGACGAACCGGAACTCTCTGTGGCTGAGACAGAGAAACACAAACTGATGGAAAACAATTCACTGCTACTGCAACCAGAACAAAACCAATTTACGGTCTCATTCCTTCAAGACCGAGCCCTGCGGCAGCAAACTGGTGACAGAGGAACACAGACTGTGCAACCGCAGTGTCAGTCTGTGCAGTTATACGTGCCACAACCAGGTGTGAATGCCATTAACACAGACATGACCAATCAGGGTGTGCAGTGCATGATCACATGACTATCTGGTGTAGAGCCCAGGTGGCTGCTGCCTCTGTTACTTGTAGATGTTTCGGACTGAAGCTCGCAACACAGTAGCACCGAGGTCAGTGCGATCAATACGGTGATTATTAGTGAACCAATACTATGTGACTTCGACCCTCCCATGGATCCACTGTGTACATACTCATGGAGGGCTGGCTGCTGGTCTCGTGCTCCTGCTCATCTTCTTCATTGCAGGACGTGACGAAAGAGCTTTCATTAGCAGGAGAAGGGGGCAGGCTTTGATTGGAGGAGCTGAAAATGGACACAAAGTGTGAAAACTTCAGTAAAAACAGGGCGAGGTGAAAGTAAACTGGAGTGGACAGGCATGTGCTGTACCTGTACATGTGCATGTGCAGGTTGAGTGGGCCCAGCAGACTGGAGGAAGATGGTCCTGATGCTGTGGGGTTAGAGGTCACTGCTCCTCGCTTGAAAGGATTCGAGTGATTGAAGACGGAGACAGCGATGGACGCCCGTGTCCTGGCTCCTACGCACACACATGCACACCCCAGAATTTTACTGGTACTTGAGTATTATCAGTCGGTCGATCAGCTTTTGATGATCAACAGAATATTTCATGACTACTGGTGCTGACTGATAGATTGTTTCCACGACTTCTCCAGTAGAAATTCAGGAGCCACCTCTGTTCAATGTGGACTTTTTATAGTAAGTGACTGATGCTACAGTCACTACAACAATCTTCAGTCCATGTTTATAGTTTCTGTGATTTCCAGCTTCAGTCACATGCTTATGATCTTAACATGCAACAACAGCTCTGCATGACGCCTGAAGACTTAAAGCTGCAGGGCAAAAGAAAAACAAATCGCTTCTCCTACGTCAACATGACGGAGGGAACTGCTTCTGGCTAAGAAGTCAAAGTACAAGGATTTATACAAGCACGATAAATCCCAGGAGACACGTGAAGCTCCACACAGGGGTGAACAGGAGCAGTCACACTAAATATACACACAGCTGGTTTAGCGATGATGTGCACTGGTGAGAAACCCAACTACAGACAGCATGTCGCACTATACCAGTGTGAGCACCTGAAATTTGACCAGGATCTCAGTGACACACGGGTCTGTGGGTACACATGAACAATCAAGGATGTCAACAACAGAAACAGTAGGGTGTTGTATAGTAAACCTGTTGATCTTACTTAATAAATGTATACGAGATAAATACGGCAGAGCACAGGATGATATTCTGGTACAGTATGTTAGATATCGACATGCACCGATAATGGCGTTTGCTGCGGCTAATACTTTACAATAAGACTAATCTCACTACAGGCGCATGTCCTCTATGGATGGACCAGGTTATTTTTCTCATACCAACACTGAATACCAGAACCTTCGCCCTCCTGGAATAAACAGTATTTAACTGATTGTACACGTGGGTGCACAATTAACAGTCGAACTCTATCAGAACTGTGGTAATAATAAAATGGGCCATTTGTGCGTTCACACGTTACCTCTGCTTTTCAGAATGCAG